GCTTGATCTGTTTTCATATATGTATGTATTCGCTCGTGCCTTCTATTCTTTAATGATGTCCTCCCCCTTTGTTAAATGAATGTTCTTTTTTTTCTTTCTTTCTTTATTTCGTTATATATATTTATAAATAAATGTTTTATTTTGAAATCCATCGTCTTGTGTCTGTTCTTCGTTGGTTCCCTTGTGTCGCTTCCATTTCTGAGTGAAGACCGAGAAAAGAAACCACGTTTTCCTTTTTTTTTAGAACCCGTGGTTCATCTATATGCTACAAGTTCGTAACAATACGTATACATATTTATGATAACAAGTACACATACACATACATACATATATACATATATACACACATATATACACACATATATGCACACATACTCACATTTATATACATATATACACACACCAATACACAAACATAAACATATATACACACATAGACTAACTCATGTGGCAGTAATGACATACCCAAGTTTCCATACCTACACATACACACAATCTCATACATAATAGGTGTCAACATACACATATACAACCACAAACCATAAATATATACATAAATATACCTATCTATAATAACAAGTACACATATATACGTACTTACACATAAATACAACGACATTCAACCAAATACATATATAAACATACATACATATACATACATAAACATACATCCATATACATACAAACACCAAAATACATGTACCCTAACATACATATATAAACACATTCATACAAACAGAAATATACGTTAATATAAATTTAGATACACAATATAACAGGACACATACATACATACATATCTATCTATCTATATATATATATATATATATATATATATATATATATATATATATATATATATATACACACATATATATATATATATATATACACACATACATACATACATATACACATATACATACATATACACATACATACATACACACATACATATATACACATACACAAATACACATACATACATATATACATCAATATTTTTAACCTTTTCTTCTTCTCCTCCATTTTACCTTCTTACTTTATATTATATATATATATATATATATATATATATATATATATATACATATATATATATATATGACTAGACATTATATATATATATATATATATATATATATATATATATATATATATATATATATATATAGGTCACTTGACGTGATGTAATTACGACTAAATAATTAGCTCGATTCTTACTAGGTTAAATTTGCTATCAATGGCCGGTGGCATCAGCTTGTTAACGATCGCTCTACGGTAGGAATCCTATAACTCATCTTGTGATTATTTACTTAATTTAGCCTGACACAAGGGCTACCAAAGGATCATTGCAAACTTCAAGCTATCTATCATCGCCCTTGAGATTGTTACTAAGCTTAGCATAGCATGGCCCAAGGTTGCAGAAGTGGAGTCAACTTTGTCGAATAAACCCGTTAGCAATGGTTTGCAATACGTTTCATAGTTGGCGTCCATTTATAGACAGTTATGTGCGCGCATGCGCGCATCTGTCCGTCTGTCCGTGTGTGTGTGTGTGTGTGCTTGTGTGTGTGTCCATAAGTATTATCCATTGTTGATACAAATCAATGGCGGTGATCCCAGCGGCTGTGGGAAGATGATAACTTTTTTCTTTCATAGCCCATCCTTGAGAATCAACCTCGTGCCTTGACGGCTTTCGCATGATGTTCCCCACGGAAACAAACACTCTTGTATCCCTTGTCCTGCTCAGCTGTATTAAGCCGGACATTCCAAACTGACCTCAAGCCGCAGGAATATTCAGACCTTTCCATTGATATATTTTCAGATCTTTTTATCGGCCCGATTGGGAAGAAGCTTATTTGTGTTGATATTTAATAAAGTTAACTAATATGGAACAAAGTCAAATTGGAACAGGACTATAAAGATCATGTAGCATCAAATATTGACGAGCGAACTTGAACTAACAATTAGCACCAATAAAATAATCAAAGGATTAGAAAACTACGTGTGTGCGTCGAGACTTCCATGTGGAATATGATACTATTAAGCAGTAATATTACTCGCTCCCATAATAGTTGTTGCTTTTACTGTATCATATATATATATATATATATATGTGTGTGTGTGTGTGTGTGTGTGTGTGTTAATGTGTGTGTATGTGAGAGAGAGTTGTTTGTGTGCGTGTGTGTGTACAGAAACGTAAATTGTGTAAAAAGCGAAGAAAGAAATACTTTTCAAATACTCGTTTATTTATTTAAGTTACGCTATTTATAGGAACAATTCGGATCACAGGAAGTTAAAAGATAGATTTATTAAATTTGGAAGTTTTATTAGTTAATAAATATATTTCCTAATTTTTAATTTCGATTTTTAGGAGGGAAAGGTTTTTAATAATTAATGTGGATGTGAGCTTTCATTTTTTAGCATATGATACATAAATGGTCGTTTACTTTTTCAAAGTTCTTGAGCTGCGCCTCAAGCAACCTCACTGATTCGTCAATAAACGCTAATTTGCAAATTTCTACTTGGCATTCGTGTGATCTTACTTTAGCACAGAATTTAGGTGATGTCTGTGTGATCGTATTTTTCCATAGAATTGAAATCTTAGTTATACTACTTTATTCTATTGAATTTTCCTACGATTTTAGTTGGTTTATATATATATATATATATATATATATATATAATATTAGTATATATATATATATATATATATATATATATATATATATATATATATATATATATATATCAAGAGGATAGAATCTAGGTAGAGCTTAATGCCCAGGACAGACCAAGAATATAATATAAAAGGCTCAAACACTAATAGTTCATGGTTATAATTTATTACATTGTAATCGTAATCAAGATCCAATTCATCAGACTTACAAATTTAAAAAGATATATCTGTGTGTGTGTGTGTGTGTGTGTGTTTGCATCTGAAAATGATTATATAATGGATATGTAATGTTTGTAATCTCCATATTTTTCTTTTGGTATTATTACATATAAAATAAAAACGTCTTTTGTTTATGCATCTTATAAGACGCATACCAAAGTCTGAACGAACTACGATAAAATAAGAAATACGTTTTCGTAATATATCAGAGTATGAGAAAAATGATAATACATGCAATAAATAATATATAGAAAAAATTAAGACATTTTATAAAATGTTAAAAAATTTTTTTTTATTAATCTTAATCAAATAAAACACTCCGATGATATCAAGTAATTAATTAAAATATATTTCCACATCCCAAGAGCGAACGTCAATGACTTTTACAAATGTTTTCCAGATTAAATTTTGTTGTCTTAAAATCAACAATTAATTTCTGTGTTTGACAGAATGTATTTATATGCGAAAATATTTTCAAAACGAAGCATGTTAAATTTAACCGATTAATATTTACAGTCAATTTTGATGAGTGGAAGCAGCCATTTTGAACCACAATTAGTTTTATCTCTGAACAACTATCTTCATTCTCATTGATTCTTCATCTTTCACATTATGGCAGTGTTAGAATCACAGAAGCAATATATTACTTAGTATGATTGAAAATTAGTTCCTAAAAACATAGTGTATATATATATCCATGTTTTCACTCTGAGGTTGTCAGGGACTGCAAGCCTAAAATCCTTGCTGTCTGAGCCCACTTACAAAATCAGCTCTGCACTAGACAATCACGTTGTGCATTGTGCTAAGGTAGACCGTTTTCTAAAATGACATCAGTATTTCATATCTATCTTTAAAACCTTGAAACAGCTAACAAGATATTGTTTTTTTTTTCATTTCTTTATCGTCGATTTTCTTAGACTCGTAGTCAACAAAAGTGGTTAATAATGCTGCTTTACTTGAACTCTACTGTCGAGCATTTATACCTTTTAGTCTTCAGTGGCAGGGGGTGATATTTCAGCAGACGTGTAAATAGTCTCCAGTCACCCTACCCAACACCATCACATACCCTTTTTCGAAGAGTCACCTGTGGGTTTGCTCATAACCTATCTTCATTTTGAAAAATATTGTTTACCAACTATAACTATCACAGAAATTATCATTTGTTAGACGTAAAAAACTTTCAATAATTTATGCTTGATTTTTTTCTTCCGATCTGGATATTAGTTTTTCTTCGTTTTGAACAAAGTTTATTCCTGCTGTCATTTCTAGAATTGATATCGCAGCGATTATATATATATATATATATATATATATATATATATATATATATATATATATATATATATATATATATATTTGGCATATTTTTTCATTGAGACATGTTTCCATGAATAATTTAGATAAATTTTGTCAACTTATTTTCAATCCATATCCACGGAAATACTTGATAACATTTGAAGATGAAGCTATTAAATTTTTTAAACAGTTTTTAAAAGGTCATCACCTGCGGTGAAATAGATTGTGATTAATCTGGAATGTTTCCTTTATATAACAATACACAACTTTTTTCCAGGGAAGGTTGTCTTATAAATTAATACTTGTCTTATATTAATAGTGGTGTTTTGGATGTTTCTGATGTAATGATCGATATGTGTGCGAACTGCGCTAAATTTCGCGAATGGTAAGCTAATCGACAAGGAAATGTGATGGTTATGTAACTAATCTAAGAGTTTAATACTTTTATTTTCTATTATTAGTCTTCCAGTCTCTCAAAAAAGATTGGAAGTTTAGCAATCATTCATAAATAATTAGTTGCCTGTTTCTTTTCTATTTTTCGGTTTTTCTTCTTTTTTTTTTCTAGTTATTCATTTTTCTTTCATCTTTTCTTACCTTCCTTTCTGCCTTCCTCCTTTCATCCTTTTTTCTAACTTTTCCTTCTGTTTTTTTTTCTTAATTGCTCCTTATGAGTATAGCAACAATGTTTTAAAAAGTCTATAAAAGCTAGGTTTTAAAAGCTTTTGATGTCATTATTAAAGGAAGAGAGAAAATAGCCGTGTTGATGCATATTATCAATACGGCGATTTTCTCTTTTCCTTTAATAATGACGCCAAAAGATTGCTCCTTTACTTTATTACTTTTGTCATCCTTTTTCATTTTTATCTTTCCTCCAATCTTCTATTCTTCACTCCTTCTTCCTTTCTACCCTTCACTCATTCACTCATTTCTTTCTTTCTTTCTTTCTTTCTTTCTTTCTTTCTTTCTTCCCGTTACATATTTCTCATGCTACTTTTCTCCCTTCTCTTGTTCCTTCTTTCTTTATCACTCTTCCGTTTTTCTGTTTATTCGACTCCTTCATTTTTATAATCACAGGATTTTCTTTCTTTCTTTTAATTTTGTATCAACCATTTCACAGAAAGGTAGAAAAGTTTTGTCGTTACAGTATCAAGATTAGTCTTGTTACAATAAAATAACCTTTTTGAGAATGCTCACCTGATATAAACCTTTTCCTCCATTTCGCTTTGTTGTCAAGAAAGATACAGCTTCCTATTGAATAGAGATAAATATCTCATAATCTACAAAATTTTGAAAACTTGAATCCTTTCCTTGATTTGGGAACCAATCCTTTTTGCTTCAGTCATCGAAGACATTAAAGATGAACTCCTGGTTCATTTTTGACCGTTTATATTTTGCCGCTAAACGAATTTAGGAGTGTGCTAACGATTTAAATAACAAAGTCAATTTAAACAATTGGGTTAACCGGTAGTTTGCTTCATTTCGCTTGACGTCATTCAGCCAAATTTTTCTGCATGAATTCTTACGGCTTTTTAACAAAACTGAACCACCAACTATCTCTGCTTCACCTACTTGTTTATCTCTTTTGTCCCATATAACAACAGCAACAACAACAATAAAACAACAGCAGCTTTTTCTTTAATTATGTGGAAGGAAAATTTTATTATTAATAATAGTTATTATTAATATGATAAGGGGAGCACATCACTTCAAAACATACACACACATTTTGTCTGTTAAGAACAACACAAATGCTCAGATGGTTTTAAAATTCTATGTCACTTAACGGAATAAATCGGAAATAAAGAGAAAATCGAGATTTTCGTTATCGATTATTAGGAAAATGTTTTTTGGCAATGAACAGAGTTGCTCATCATTAGATTTTAACTAGTATTTCTTTAATCTTTTTTGTTTTTATCGCGCATTTTAAATGAAAACAAAGAACTGCAATAACATGTCCACAAACTAATGATGACAGATTCAAAACATGACCCACTATATAGGAGTTATTGGCTGGCAAAAAGGCCAGATGGGAATGACGCAAATTGTACTTCGTCTCAGAAATTTACGTAACTTTGGCTGGTTTGAAATAAGAATCCTCTCTCTAGTTGTATCACAAAGGCTACAGAATCGATATCGCAGCGATTATATATATATATTGAAAATTTGAAATCTTATAATGATATTTATATTTGTAAACCGGACAAGGGTGCTGGTGTCGTTCTACTGGACCGGGTAGATTACATCTAAAAGATGTTGATTATTTTGAATGATTCAGAAAAGTTCAAAAAAATTGGTCCAGTTGAAAATTGTGACAACACGTACAGAAATGAAATTAAAATTCAGAAACGTCTATTATACTTGTTTAGAAAAGGTTACTTTTCTAAGGAGACTTATGACAGGATTAGACCTTCTGGTTCCCTTAGACCAAGGCTTTATGGTCTTCCTAAAGTTCATAAGAAGGACGTTCCATTGAGACCAATACTTTCAATGATTGATTCATCCGAACATGAACATTGTATACCTGATTCGTTCACGTTTGTTGAACGCTTACAGTCTTGCCCTGATACTGATTTTATGTGTTCTTTTGATGTGTCCAGTCTGTTTACCAACGTACCATTAAAGGAAACTATTAATATCTGTGCAGACTTTTTATACGAAGGTAACATTACTCCATCTCCTTTTCCTAAGGATATATTTATAGAACTTATGATACTATGTACCAGTTCAGTGGAGTTTAGTCTTGATAATGTAATGTATAGTCAAGTGGATGGGGTCCAGATGGGCAGTCCCCTTGGTCCTGCATTGGCTGATATTTTTGTGGGCTACCACGAGATGTTACTTTTCGGCAAAGTGTCTAAACCGTTTGTTTATGTCAGGTATGTCGATGACACTTTTGCAACTTTTTCTAACGAAAGTGAGGCTGTTGAGTTCTTTAATGAGCTCAACTCCTTACACAATGGTTTGTCCTTCACTATGGAAGGGGAGAAGGACAACTGTCTGCCTTTTTTGGACGTTTTTGTTGAACGCAGTAGAGGTGGTTTTCTTACAAGCATCTATCGTAAACCCACCTTTACGGGTTTCTATTTGAATTGGCGTTCATTTGCTCCTGCATCAAGGAAAATCAATCTTGTTAAAACCTTGGTGTATAGAGCGCTTAAAATTTGTTCTCCTATTAGATTGGACTGTGAATTTGAAAACATTAGGGAGATTTTCCTCAGTAACGGCTATCCGGAGGCCCTTATTGACTATATTATTAGTAAGAAGACTAAGGAATTTCATTCCCCTAAAGTCCAGGGGCCTTCTAAATGTTCGGTGTATTTGAAGATTCCCTGGATTGGGGATAGGGGTCAAGGCTTAATCAAGCAGGTTAGCAAGTCGGTTTCCGGTTGTTTCCCATCAGTTGCTTTACGTAGCATTTTTCGAACTAGGTCTGTGTTTCCGTCTTTTCGCAAGGATGTATTGCCCTACATCAAATTGAGTAATTTAGTATATGAGTTTAATTGCCAGTGTGCTGCTGGTTATGTGGGGCGTACAACCTTGCATTTGGAAGGTATTTACTTGATTCCCACAAAATCAAGATGTGACACAAGGTCGTTTAACGTGGGAGACCCGAGTGTTTCCACTCAAAGGCCACTGGTCAAAATTGGTCATAGCTTGTCCAAGCTGGTCAGAGCCTAGTCAAAGCTGGTCATGACTTGTCCTAACAGGTCCAGGCCGGAGCCAGTCCAAGCTAGTCAAAGCCTTGATCGAATCTCAGCCATAGGCCAAGAAACGATCCAATATTTGTCAAAACCCCCAGCCGAAAAATCGGCCGGGCGGAATAACCTTGCATTTGGAAACTAGAATCAATCAGCATGTACCTTCCAAAATACGACTTGGTAAGATAGATAAAATATGCTATCTTCCCCCCATGAATATGGAATCGGCGATTGCTATTGTTGAGAATATAGCCTGCGCCAAGTCGTATAAAAAAGAGTGGTTTAAAATTATTCATACAGCCGATTCCAACAATCATTTGAAGATTTTGGAATCAGTCTGCATAGGATTAAGGAAACCTTCTCTCAGCCGGCAGAAAGAATTTGTAACGTCTCTTAATCTGTTGGGGGATATTTTATTTTAACTGTCCCTCGCTAATTTATTTACACGTTATTTCCCCTCCCCTCGTTACAAGTATATACACTTGTTTGTTATTTTTGTGTGTTTCCCCCCTTTTTTGCTCTTCATTGTCGTTAATATTCTTTTCGTTGATTAATTATCCAACGATTGTCTCCTGATGAGATGTTGGTTGAAAGGGCCTTAGAGACTTTTAAAATTAAAATCATTACATTCCTTGTTTTTAAAACTATATATATATATATATATATATATATATATATATATTATATTTGGCAGCATATTTTCATTGAGACATGTTTCATTGAATAATTTAGGTAAATTTTGTCAACTTATTTTCAATCCATATCCACGGAAAATCTTTTGGCGTCATTATTAAAGGAAAAGAGAAAATCGCCGTATTGATAATATGCGTCAACACGGCTATTTTCTCTCTTCCTTTAATAATGACATCAAAAGCTTTTAAAACCTAGCTTTTATAGACTTTTTAGAACATTGTTGCTATACTCATAATTAATCTTATTTAGTGTTGATTGTATTATTCTTTATCAGAAATGGTTTAAAATACTTAAATAGTAATTTAAAAGCAAATTACAAATATAAATTAAATTACCTCTCTTAGAAAATGTTAATTTTTTAGTTAACAGAACGAGTTTAATGCGCATTTACAAAAAATTCACAACTATCAATTACATTAATTTTTTGTCAAGTACCAAAAATATTTCCAAAACTTAAAATATATTTGATATATTAACACATAAATTAATATAGAATAATAAAATAGTAAGACAAATTCAGTATTCTATTAACACTACAGCACACATCACGTCCACTAGCTGATACACTAAGTATAAACACTGACCGAAGCAGTACTAACAAAAAAACTACCTGGTATGATGTGTAATCTACGGTATTAATATTTTATAGGAGTTAATGTTGACTTTAATGTGTTTATCAGTAGAGCTGACGAATTATTAAATGTTTGTTAAGTTATATCGATACAATATACGGTGCTTACCGGTGTGTGTTGTAAGTTGTTTGTTATATAAACGATTTATAGAAAGATATTACGGTTAGTGTCTTAATATAGAGGGAAGTGGTATGACCTTATATTGCTTTGGCATAGGTTACCACATCTTCTTCTTTTATGTGCCGTGTCTCTTCAGAACGTAAACGATCATGGCTCTCCACTTCTTCCTGTCCCTTGTAGCTCTCAATAAGTTTTGTCTTTGTCTTTGTTATTTATCCCAGACCTTGTTTTGTCGTTCACCTGCTTAGACCCGTTAAGTATGTCACGCGTTGCTTTTCTTTGTCCTTCTTTCCCTCTATCTGTCCTGTGAGTATCAGATTTTCCAAGCCCTCCTTTCTCATTACGTGACCCAGAAATTTCAGCTGTCTTTTCCTCATGTTAAGCATGTTTCCTCTTTGTTTTTATCCTCTCCAAAACCTCATCGTTGCTCACATATTTGGTCCATGGTATCCTTAGCATCCTTCTGTAGAACCATACCTCTGTTGTCTCGAGTCTCTTCTTCATCTTTGAGGAGACCGTCTAACATTCGCTGCCGTAAAGGAGGAGAGATATCACGTAGCAGTTCAATACACTTCTATGTGTTTGTGTGTGTATTTATTATAAATGCATCAGGTTAAAAGTTCAGCTATTCAAATAATCTGGAATATAACCAACGAAACCCTCCTGTCTTGTAATACGCTCTACCTAGCTTTTGGGATGCGTCTTTGGCCATTCTAAGAGAACTGGAAATGCTAACAGGATTCATCATTGGCGGCCACAATCTTAACAACCAAAGATACGCAGATGACACAGTGCTGATAGCAGACACGGAAAGGAAACTACAAAAGTTCATACTGAAGGTAGCGAAGGAGAGCGAGAAGAAGGAACTAGGCATAAACTACAAAAAGACAGAATGCATGGTCATCAGCAAGAAAAAAAAAATCCCAGCCCGAAATGCGATTTACAGGTCGGGGACACTAAAAGCAGGTGCGGAAATTTAAATATCTGGGAAGTGTTCTGATAGAGGTTATTGTATACTGTAGCCTAATTTCATTTAACGGTAGGCCCAAGTTTTGGTAGCCTATCGTATGTTTGGAGGTTGACCTATACGGTAGGTTTTGGCCTAACTCAGAATCTTGAGCTAAAAATTTTGAGGTCGAATTGTACGGCACAATTTACGGTAATTCAGCGCTATCATCGTTTAGCTTTTAGATTCATTTCAAATTTGAATCAGTTTTGGAAGGTCGTTTTAAAACACGTGTTATTTCATTGATAAGATCTCTTGGTAAAATATCTAATCTATAGATTTACGCTTATTGCAACATGACATAAATACTAAATTAATTAGTTTACTTAAAAAAATTACGAAATTGCTTGACAAGCGGTATATTATGGCAAAAGCAAACATTTCTGAACGTAAACTAAGTGTGTCTGTTAGACAGTTTTTTCATTTTTTTTTTGTGCGCCAATGTTCAACTGCAAATGTTCGGGAATGTAAACAACTTAAAAGTTTCTTTTCGTGATTTTGTCGATTTCTATAATTATTATAACGCAGTTCCCTTTTCATAAAAAAACGTAAAACAGCGTAATGGCTGACGTCATTATAATGTGCAAACGTTACAAGGCAGTAATTTAAACATTTGAATTTAGAAATAATATCATGCATAATTACAATTTTACCGCAACCATGAAGGTCTTCATGATGGCGCAAAGAATAATTGAAAGCTGTTCTTACATACACGAAACCTGACACTTATCCGGAAGCAAGAAAGGATAAAAACAAAATGTACCTCCTTGTTTATGGTCTTTAGTTGAATATGTATTAATAAAAGTTTGCTGTTTATATAAACATTAGACACATACGCACAAATACATATAATCATGCCTGTCCTTAATAAATTTTATCTTTTGTTATATCTCCTAAATCTTGTTCCGCCATCACTTTACTCAGGCCTGCTAGGTAGGTTATGCATTGTTTTCCTCTGTCCATCTTGCATTCAATCTGTCCTGTGAGTATCAAAATTTCAAAGTCCCCTTTCCTCATTATGTACTCTAGAATTTCAACTATCTCTTCCTGAATTATAAATATAAGTGTTAGTATATATATATATATATATATATATATATATATATATATGAACTTTATTTTAAAACTTCATGAGCTTCCCAGCCTTAGCTATGATTAATTAATGATGGACATGTCATTTTCGTTTATGATCGATTTTATCACGATACTTCTGTTAAGCTTAGAGAGTAATTATACATTCTTATTGCTCAGAGTAGTGTCCAGTAATGTTATAAAAAATTCTGAGAATTTCAGTAAGGTATCTTTAATCATTTCTAAGATACAACGGTTCAAAACTTAATCTAACAATTGGCCAATTTTGCTGTTACACCATTTGGACAATTTTTCAGCTACATCTGGTACGTACACACACACACACACACACACACACACACACACACATATATATATATATATATATATATATATATATATATATATATAGATAGATTGATAGATAGATAGGTAATGAATATGTATTGATTCATACATATTCACGTATTCTTTTAAAAATAAACAAATATGAAATCAACCGCAATTGGCCAACAATACAATAACCTTTGCGATTCTGAAAATATTCATGAATTGAAAGCAACAAACGGACATTCTGAGAATGGCAGTTGTTTGCAACCTGCCTAAAATGAGGCCTTGTTCAATGAATTGTAGAACGGATATAAGCCGAGAAAGCAAACAGACAGAAGAGAATGTGTGAGCAGGTCAAGATAGGTTCGAAACGAGAACTGCTTGACAAACAACTCGACTTCAAAATCTTGAAATCTTTTACTCTTTCTACCATAGGACAAAGCCAAGAAAGACGAATAGAAAAAAAGATATAACAAGGCGTCATTGTATCGTCAAAAGATTGTTATGGATTCTTTTGTCATTTTCTCTGATTACAGCACAAAAGACTGCATTGTTGGCTCGTAGATGAACGAACTTTAGTCACGTGGTAGAGATCGTGCGAAAAAGGGCACGAAACTGTAGCCTTTGTGGTTGGCTTTCGTTAGGGGTGTCCATCCTTTCTTTATATTTCAGATTATGCGAATACCTGAACTTTTCACCTGATGCATTTATAATCAATACACACACAAACACATAGTAGCAGGCACGCACAAACATGTACACACATATTTTAGCTTTTTATATATTTATAATCATATATTTATATTTTATTATGCAATATAAAATATGATTTGACACTATTTTTCACATTTCTAAGGAATTAATTTTTTTAATCAAACATTTGTTATTACTCCAGACGTTATATAAAAAAACGTTTATTTATAATAATAGAAAAATATCGGATTAAAAATACGTTTAATTAACGAAGGAATTATTTTATTTTACGTTTCAACTACGGATATAAAATTAGCAGGTACAGGTTTGGAAAGGGTCCAACAAGCAGGGTCGGTGCGTACATCCCAGAACCCCACGACCGAAGTGGGATGCAAACCTGATTGGCGGCTATTGTATTCATAATGTTAAATGTGTTAAAATTATTCAACTTTTTAACAAAATTGCCGAAAAAAAATTGTTGATTTATTTAAGATGGAACGATCTATTATGACATGTCTCTAATTTGCATTTAGATACATTGTATTTATTTTTCTAGATGAATTGTTCACCTATATTGAATACGATCCATTATTGTACGTTATTAAGTTACAATAAAAATTTGTATTTTATATGAATACTGCCTTATGAAAATTGAGATATAGTAGAGTGGAGAGCTCGTATCATAGATTTGAGGTAGGAAGGAGAGTGGTCACGTGAGTCTTGCACCGTCCCTGACAAGAAAAGATGTGCGTTTGTTAAAGTGGGTAATTGAGTCTTGTGTTGCTAATAGATCTTTCATGACCGAGCTGTCAAAGCACACCTAGCTTGATGACGATCTTTCCTATGTAAGGGGAAAAACAGGTTTTAAAAAAACAGTGATGTCTCTTCTAATATGGGCAGCAACGAAATATTACATTAATCATAAGACATATTTTTGTACATAAAACAACGCAAGGAGTTCACCGGTTTTTAAATTTAAAAAAATGTAAATTTTTAACATTTTTAAACAACATATTTATCTTTTTGTTCCCCTATCTTTTGTCATCTTTAAAGACATTTCTTACTTTCATCCTCCCTAACTTTATTCTTTTTCTTAGGGAAATATTCCCCAGTTGTTCTTTGCTGCAGTCTTTCTTTGACATTTGTTGAGACTTCTAGAAAAAAAACAGACTAAACGGTAATTGATATAGTATTAGAAAAATATGTTTTTTTACCTCGACACCAAAGAACCATAATCGTTAATTCTTATAAAATAAACGTTTACTCTGAATTTATTTCAGACACTTTTCGTCGATCTTCGACTTTATCTGATGTAACGTCGAATCAATCGTTTGTTTCTCCGGAAAGGGTTTTAAACGTAAATAATTCTCTTTCAATTCCTATAAATAAATCACATCACCTTCTTTCGATACGGGTTCATTTGGTCCATAATCTCTTGCGTTCCCCGTTGCTGTAAAATGTTCACTTTTCAGTGACCTTCATAACAGAATAGTTTCCATACATATAAGTAGCGAATCATACACTTATATAAATTGCTTTTTTTTTTTCTGATAATTTTTTGTGGAAAGTGTCCATCAAAGCGATTAGCATAACCAAGTTGGTGGAAATTATCGTCTTCGCTTGATTTTGATATTGTTGATTATTCTATACTTCTATTTCTAATATTGGCAAATTCTTTCAGTTCTTATTTTTTCTTTGCCAATATTTTAGAAACATGTTTGAATTTTCCCTTCTTATCAATGAGTCGATTTTGCAGTTTTGAATCTCTCAAGACTGCTTTCATTGGTGACACATGGCAAATAGAAACTGAGAATCCCATTAAAAGAATCTTCTTTAATTATCATTGTAAAGAAATTCCCCTTTCGCTAGTCAAACCTATTTCTTCATGAGGTTAGCCATGAATGCAACCCACTCTTCCATCAATCCTAAAAGTATCAAACTAACGAACTCTGAAACTGTAGAGATTCCATGGATATTGGCAACAAAGATTATCCGTTATCGCAAATGCTTTTTTCTTATCATTTACCTGTATCCTCTCATTTTATTCCTTATTCCTTCCAATATTTCTCCTCTTTCATGTTTTTATGTTTGTTTCACATCTAAAAAGGGAAAAGGAACTACTGTTCCTCCACATTTATCTTTCTTTTGATCTATATAACGAATTTTACTACACTGGAATAACCACCTTTTAAACTTTCATATATTGTCTCTAGATATAAAGTCAGCAAACTTTACTTCCCCATTCTTTCTCTCCAAACATTTCTCCTTTGTCATTGTTTCGTCCCTACTTCATTCTCCTCTTTCTATGTAATTCTTTATCTCCAACCTTTTCCTCTCTCTTTATATAATATTCTCTCGAACCCTTTCCCCATTTCTCTTTATGTCATTATTTCGTCTTTATCCTTTTCTCCTCTCTCTATGTCCTTCTTTTCTCCATTCTTTTCCCCGTCTCTCACTATGCCATTCTTTCTTCTCCATCTTATTCTTCTCCTCTCACTATGCAATTCTTTCTTCTCCACCACATTCTCCTCTCTCTCTATCATTTTTTCTTTCAGACCCTTTGTCCATCTTTCCCTATGTCATTCTTTCTTCCCCATCATTTTTCCTCTCTCTATGTCATTCACTTTCTTCCTTCTGATAGTTATTTTTCTTTCATTGGTTTTTACTTTCGTCTAGTTTTTATACCTTGTTTGTCTTTTCTGCTTTTCAGTCTTTTCTCTCTTCATCCCCAGCCTTGCTTTCCTTAACTCTCACTTAATATTATTATGTAAGTTTCTCTGTCAGAAAGCGTAACATTTTCTAGAAAATCCGAAGATCAGGCACAAATATTTACCCTGTGATCCTATCCTGAAGCATAATGGTCGTACATAGAAACAAGCAGAATAATAAAGATAATATTTTTTTAAATAAATAATAGAATGTAAAAGGTCTACAGGAAAACATAATATTCGTAGAGGGAGATATAGGCAAATAGGTATTAGTTGTACGCAGTCATCATTCTCACAAGAGTGTATCTATAGTGAATTCAGCGTGAACCGAACTTATCAATAATTCATCAGTTATAAACACGAATAATCGATCTTTTCACTACTAATAGTATTATTTGCAAAAAGACCCTTCACACTACAGCCCAGTGTATCAACCACATAGCTATATTTGCCATACTTTTTGAACGAGGTCAGTAAGTATTTTTGATAATAGTTATTTGGCGACGACCATGATGCTCTTTTCTGTAATGTGGCACGACAAAAACGTTATACTAACGGCCCTGTCGTCACTCTTTATTTTCCGCCCTGAATCCTTAAAAGACTTCGCTGTTTTTACCCGGGTGTAGGGGGATGTTTGAACTTTTTCCACTAGAAACATTAACAACAAATATCTTGGATGGGCGTGTGCGTCATGTGCCGGTAGAATGAATTCAGATTGACGTCAGAGACGTATTAAAAACATCTTTTTATTTAAAATATTTAGCTATGCTTGCTATATACATACATCTTGGCATACATACTTATATAGCGGGGAGTGATGGTTAACAAGTTTGACTCGTAGCACATTGTGTTCAATTCTCACTTTCTGCTCAAAAATCTTGACCCTATCTTGTTCCGAATTTTCATCAAAAACCTTTCTGATGTCATCAATTCTCAACTCGCTAACTATGCTGATGACACAACCATTTATTCTTGTCTTAATAGTAAGTCTGATCGGTTTGATAAGATTAAATTGGCAGCTGATCTAAAAAATTGACCTGTTAAATGTGGCAAGACATGTTTTTTTTTAAAGTTTTAACGCCACAAAACAAAACTGCTCTCTTTTAATCATTTACGAGAACCATTCTGCCTTCCATCAACATGGCTGATGCTAACCTCCAGGAGAGTGACTTATTGTGATTTTTCCGACTAACGTTTTCAGCTGGCATGAAATGGAAAGAGTATATTGAATCAATTGTTAGGTCCGCATCTAAGAAAGTTTAATACTCTATGTCGCGCTAGACAATTTTTCACGCCAGAATCTATCTTACATATAAATCTACCATTTACTTTGAATATTGCTGCCACATTTGATCTGATGCTCCTGCCATATATTTAGAGATTCTTGATAAGATCCAAAGAAGAATATGCAATATTACCGTCCCTTTCCTACCGCCGTAACTTAGCTTCCCTGTGCCTTTTCTATAAATACTTTCAATAGAATTGTTCTGATCAACTTTCCGCTTTGGTACCTAGATTTTATGAATTTAAGTACATTTCACGATTGGCGGCAAAGTCTCATCATTTTACAGTTGAAATAGCTAGATGTAAGCGTAAGTTCTATACTAACAGTTTTTCTATTGCACTTCTCGTTTGCAAAACTCTCTTCCGGTTTTCTTGCTTCCCAGTCAACTTTGATCTTCAAAAATTTAAATGCAATGTAAATTGTTATCGTCTATCTGTTTAATTCTTGCTCTTTTATTGTCCTCTCTCTTTTGTCATATACTCTAACACTGAGTAACCTCTTGTGTCTTAATTGCTTTATTGCCTTGCTTAGGGTGAGATGATTAAAAAATGATTTACAATAGTAAATATCTATAAACATATATACACACACGCATAAATATTCATTAAGCGTCTGTAAAAGTTTTCAGTAAAAACAGATTTTCGACTGTGTATTCAGTTTGTAGTTTAAAAAAGAGCGCTGAGGACATTTGTATATACCTAATATAATATGCAGATAATTTTATTCATATGCACTTACTTAATAATATAGTAGTGTATGAGTTATCCGTCTGAAAATGGCTTCGTCGACCAGGGTTCGAATTTTTTTCAATTCATAATAATATCCTTGGGAATGACACAAATCGCCTTGCCGTCTTCCCCATCTTCATATATCAAGATAACATTTTCGTTACTGGTATGTCACGATCGATAGCAAGTGACCGAGAAAATCATAAGCACTTTTACCTGCCCTGAAAAAGCTGTTATTTCCATGGTTAAACTTAATTTGATGAAGGGTATAATCACACAGACACACCCTTAAACTGACAAAACGCAAAAAGAAAAGAAGTGAAAGGGTGAATAAGAATGAAAGAAAAAGAAAATGTACATAGAAAGAAAAAGCGTGAATGAAAGAAGCAACTGTTGTGAAAATGAAAGGAACCGTTTCTCAGAAATTTATTTCAGTTCTTTCTTCATAAAATAATTTTGGTGAAAACGTAAATATTTAATTTTTTACGGAATCACTGACACAGTTGTCGTGACAATTTGAAACAGACGATAATAAAATACATTTTGAGTCTCAATCAATTTTGGGTGAAATTTTTTTTCTTCAGAACCCTTCATTTAAGTCAACTTCCACTCATTGGTTTATCATCATTGCGCATGCGTATATTGAAATCATTTGAACACACACACACACACACACACACACACACACACACACACACACACACACACACACACACACACGCGCGCACGCACGCACGCGCACACACACACAAAACATCGAGAGGTCAAAACACGTCAGATCAATGACAGTTTCCCCTACGGAGAACGCATATTTTTCTCTAATAAAATTTCTCGAAGATTCAGTCTGGCAGAAAATAAATAAATATACCATTTAATAAATAGAGGGTCCACTAAAAATAACGTTTAAATAAAACACACACACACACACACACACACACACACATATACACATATATATATATATATATATAGTCATCCGCAGACAGACTGTTTCGCTGTATTACAGCTCTTCAGTGTGTTTAGACGTCCGATTGCTTCAACCCGGAATTTGACATCAGCATTTAGCGTTTTCTATACGAAATACGCCAGTGGCCAGGAGAACTCAATTCGTAGTTGAAGAGTAATGCATTAATAGCAGGAGCACCCACTGTTTATAAAATTACCTTTTTCTCCGGAGAGCTCTATTGGGGGGTGGGGGTCTCCGAGAGCATATATATATATATATATATATATATATATATATGAAGGGTATTTCGGAAGTTTTCAGTTCAAATTTCAAAATTCCTAATGATATGTCTGCAATAAAAGAACAATTTTAATTTAATTTTTCCACAAATACTTATTTTCACGAGTCATTTTGATCATTATCAAATTCTATTGATCTAACCGACCGTGTGGTATCATGAAAATTCAAAACCATCATCACAATACCTTTATTATAAGCCGCATAAATAGTTTTTCCGGTGTTTGTGCTGTGCTTTGTTTTTCATTCTTAATTTAAAAAAAAAGAAAAAAGAAAGAAAGAATAATATACCGAAAATATTGCTTATTTTCACTGATTTTAATGCTTGAATCAACAAAGAAAATAAGTTGATTTTGTAAAACGTTTAAAAAAATGCACACTGATATGGCAGTTTTGACATATCGTGTTGAATGAAATTAAAACTAAACGCTTATATGTATAAGAATAGATCAAGTAGAAATGATCTCTAACTAGGTCTTATGTCCGTTGATAGTTGTGACATCCCAGTAACAAGGCATCGAAATTAGTGCTAAAACGGAGCGCAAGAAGAAATAAGTTCGTTCTTTCTTCATGACATTAGTCCGAAGTGAACATCCTTTACAGCCTCATCCAGAATTTGAAATCAGCTCACGGATTTCGAATCGTACAGAGCAACTCTCTGGATATATATGACACCAAATCTATAAACAAACAGTCACGCTGGTGTGTGTAATTTAGTAAAAGTCTGTCAGTTTACTACATAACCACAAAAAACTGGAACAGCAAGTGAGATTCAAATTTTATGTCTCACTGAACTTATAGCGAGACTAATTTTCGAAGTATCTTTTTGTGTTAGTAAATATAAATGTTTAGTTAACTCGATATTTAAACTGGGATAGGGTGTGCGGTTCTTGGAAATTCCGAAACATCCCCAGGATTGCCAGAAGGCAAGTTTCGAATTAGATTACATTTAAGAATTTACAGTAAATAACATTTTAATTGATTTTCTCCTCATTATTAATTGGAGGTTAGTCGGTTAGTTATTTTAGAAAGTAGCCCACAAGTCGTAAACAAGCAACTTTTCAATTTTAGTTTAAACTAGGGTTTGACAAAATAAGTGCAATCTGACAAAGTCGTTAACACCCGTGATATTACGAAATAGCACCTGGAATTGTCATTAGGTTTTAGCGTACTCGACTGCTCGTTATTAAATTTGGTGTTGATACTGGTTGTGTTTTAAGTTCTTTAACAAAATGGCACCACGCCCTTGCACCATTCCGGAGAATTAGGAATGTTTTTTCAACGGTTTCCACATGACATACCTTCGACGGTACAGCCCATGGAACCAAAAAAGACGCAAGATTCTACAAAGACCGACCAGGGGCGTTCTGTTTCTCTTTCATATTTCATTGACTGTTTCTCTACAGGCATATCACAAAAAAGACTTTGTCTATTGATTTAAATGTTTATATCAGACTACAAGCAGATTACCTATTGGCAAGCAAAACACTTAGGCCGGCTAGGACCCATTTAGATACGCCAGATTATAATAACGTATGAAGTAATAAAATAACGGATTAAAAATAAATATGTTATTAGAAAATAAATAAATATATATATATATATATATATATATATATATATATATATATATATATATATATATATATATATATATTTATTAGTTAATGATGTGAGTTTGTGACCTTGGGTTTCACGCTTTTGACGATAGC